TAAATATTTTCGCATGATTTTCTAGAACCTTAAGTGTAGATATTTTTTAAATATTTTTAGCAGGATTCGATAAGGAAATTAAGTGTAGGTTTTTTAAATATGTTTAAAAGGATCCTGTAAAGACATTAAGCGTAGATTTTTTTATATATTTTTAACAGGATCCTAAACGGACATTAAGCGTATTTTTTTAATATTTTTAAAAGGATCCTGTAAGGACATTAAGGTTAGATTTTGTAAATATTATTGAAAGGATCCTATAAGGATATTAACGGCAGATTTTGTAAACATTTTAAAAGGATCCGATAAGGACATTAAGCGTAGACTTTAAAAGAAATTTTGTCAGGATCCTATAAGGACATTAAAGGTAAATTTTTTAATATTTTCAACAGGATCCTATAAGGACATTAGTTGTAGACTTTTTAAATATTTTGAGCAGGACCCTATAAGGACATTATGAGTAGATTTCTTTTTAAATATTTCTAACAAGACCATATGAGGACATTAAGAGTAAATTTTTTAAATATTTTTAGGAGGATTCTGTAAGGTCTTTAGTTGCAAATTTATTAAATATTTTTGGAGGATAAGAACATTAAGCGCAGATTTTTTAATATTTTTAGGAGAATCCTATATGAACAATAAGCGTAGATTTTTTCAATATTTTTCTTCATTGGGAGACCTTTGGTGTGAATTGCTACTTTTGATAATTTGCTACTCGAATCATAAACTATTAACTACAACAACAAAACAACAACAACGCCATCAACACCTTCTACTTACCATCTTCCATTGTTGAGCATTGCTTCGAATTTGTTGGCTTTCCTATGACGCTCTTGTAAAATGGCACAAGAAAAAACTCGTATTTACTCGCCTTAGCCAAACCATTAACGGTACACGCGCTCGCACCATTGCCCGCATTTAAGACTGTCATCATTTTATACTCGGCCGAATGTAGTTCACGTGCATAAATATAAAATCCTTCAATATATTGGCCGCTATCGATGTCCCATGCCAGCCGTACACTAGTCGAGTCTGTGGCATTGGCTTCAAGTAGTTCAACAACGTCGTTCGTTTGCAACAACGTCTCCACTTCGGCGAACATCAAATCTTCATTGACACCACCCGCACCATTCATGCCGCTGCCGGCACCACGATGACTACCCCTGGTCACTAGCTGGCCGGCTGTTATCGGTTCAGATATGGGTGAGGGCGGGGAGAAACCCAAGGCATTCTCGGCGCGCACAATAAACATGTATGCCGCACCATTTGTCAACCCATCAACTGTGAAAATAGGTTCAATCAGGCGTGATGCAATCGGTATCCATGTTTTACTTTTATTCGTCGAATACATTTCCACCGAATAGCCCAGCAGTGGTGAGGCTCCTGGCTTATCACTTGTTGGCCAGACGATGGTCAGTGAATCGGCACTTGCATTTAATACTTTCGGTTGACCAGGAGCTGAAGGACACTTACTTTGTTCAGGTGCCCGATAGAATTTGATGTTGGGATTTGTGGGCACTTCGATGCGCAAATAGCCACTCCATGTACTCTTGCCCGTACGACTGCTGGCCACACATGTATACAGGCCCTGATCCTGTTGCCTATCTAAATCGGAAATTATTAAATCACCTGCTGTGGTCAAATTAACTTTTGCCGTCGGATGAATGGGTATGCCGTCACGATACCACGAAATGGTGGGGTTAGGCAGTCCAATTGCCTTGCAATGCAGTGTGGCCAAACTTTTGACAGGTAGTGTTTGATTAACCGGTCCCATTATGATGATTGGCGGTGGTCTATCTTCCTGTGAGTCTAAAGTTAATTGTGCCCGTGTGGTTATGGTGGCCACTTCGTTCATGGCATTGCAGACAATAACTAAATCTTTGTCACTGCGTTGAAATTTCGTTAGCGTCAATATGGAGTGACCCTCTTCGGTATTAATCGATTGGAAACGATCTAACGGTGGTGCACCGGGGAATATGATGGTTCTATTATTTTTAATGGTCCAAAAGATTGTGGGGCGAGGATTGCCGGTGGCACGACATTCAAATGAAGTGTCGGCACCCAATTCTACAGATTTACTAGTGGGACGTTGTAAAAATTTGGGTGGTGCTACACGGGAGAGTAATTACCAAAATACACATAGAGGGAGAGAGATATAGAGGAAGGGTGTTATATATTTGTTTATTTTAGCGATAAGTAGTTATTACAATTTCTATATATGTATATAAGATAATTTTTGTTTATGTGTAATTTTTATTAGACTTACCGTATACTGTCAGAGTACCCATGGCTGAAATGGCTCCCACAATGTTATCAGCCTCACAGCTATATTCACCCTCATCAGCCACAGTGACACGCTCCAATCGCAAACTTCGATCTTCCAGTACACTGACACGATCTATGAGACAGATAACGGATACAAATTAGTTTTATATAGAAAAAATTAATAATACGTCCACGTCAAAATTTGTCTTGTCCTCCAACATAAATTATACGTTATTATGTTGTATAGTAGCGGATTTTTAAGAGGACCCAAGAGGATCATATCAGTAACTATTTAAAAATTAAATAGAAGGAAGAAGTGATTTGTCCATGTTTTTGGAAGATTAGTAGTAGTTTTGGTCTATGGATGGCAAATCGATTTTTTAAGGCCTTGAAAGGAGATAATCCCAAATGTTAGGGGGCATTTGCCTAGGCCACATACAAAATATTAAGTTCGGATTTCTAATGAAATTATAATGCGAACCTTCTTATGAGGATAACATTAAGTCAAGTATGCGTGATCACGTTTTTACAATATAATCAAAACCTAGTAATCTTGGATATTAAAATGATTTTAAGTCACAAACAGAGTCTTCTATGCAATTTTCAAGACTATTTGGGGACTAAAAAGTGTGCTATCGTTCGAACTCGAAGTAATTTTGGAAAAAGCCGAAAGTTTGCTCATCGGGTCTTTTAAATGACTTACGAAAATAACCCTAGGATAAGTATGCTTAGATTAAACATGAAATAGCCAGGTAAACATGAAGTAGAAAAGCGTGGATTTGTAATAGAATTTCGAAGACAAGAAGTGATTTCGTGAGGATCAAATGTTGATTTTAAAGGATAGTAGAGGACGATTAAGTGTGGATCTTTGAAGGATACTTCAGGAGCACCAAACGTGGATTTTAACAGGCACTAAAGGTGAAGGACGAAGCCTAAATTTTTAAAAGTTCCTTTGATGTGGAACATTTCAGAAAGAACAATCGTGGATTTTTAAAGGACAGGAGAACCATTCGACAATTTTGAAAGGACTATCAGGAGGACTTATGATGGATTTTTAAAGGACATTTGAAGAGGAACAATCGTTTAAAGTTATTTTGAGGAGATCCAATCGTGGGTTTTAAATGACTTTTCAGGAGAATCATACGTGAACTTTTAAAGGACATTCCAGAAGGGCCAATGTGGATTTCAGGAGGACCAATTATGGATAATTAGAGCAACTTTCAGAAGGACCAATGATGGATATTTAAAGGGGGTTTTTTAGGAAATCCAAGCGAGGATTTTGAAATTACATTTTATGTTGTTCGAGAATTAAAAAAAAAAATTAAGCAGGAACAAACGTGGATTTTTAGAGGTCCTTTGAGGAGGACAAAGCGTGGAGGACAAAGATTTGTAAAGGTTATTTGGGCAGAAGCCAAAGCACAAAAATGTAAATTTAAGCCCGGTATAGACAGTGGAGTTTTTAAGTGTGGTTTTTAGAGGGTATTATGCGAAGGATCTAAAGTCTGGAAAAGGGACTTTAAGCGTAGTATAGAGAGTGGAGCTTTTAAGAAGGATTTTCAATGGATTTTTGGGGGATTTTAAACGGAACTCAATGCCTAGTAACAGTTCAATTTAAAAGGATGGATTTCTTCAGGATTTGTCCGCTGAACCCCAAACCAGTGTCGTGGATTTTTTAAAGCCTTTTCAGACTGACACAGACACTAATAAGAGTGACTTTTTTAAGGTCTTTTCTGGAGGGTACATAAGAGTGGATTTAGATTTAGGATTTGCAGTATGAACTATTTGGGATGAATTTTGTGAGAGTTACACGGAATAATTTTAAACAATATATTTATGAGAGTTTTTAAAGGACTAATAAAAATGTTTCAGTATGGATTTCAAAAGATTTTTTTTTTAATTTTTCAAATTGTTATATTGACCAAGAAATGTGAATTGAACAGATTTTGCTGAAATGGTGTAATTAGAGCAGATTATTCTAAGATTTTAGAAGGGAATGGCCAAGATAAAAAAATAGGACTATTTTGAACTTAAACCAGTGAGCGGAGCAGTATAGTCGGACGGGGCCGACCATACGATACCCTACACAACGTCCATGAAAATCTAACTTTTTGTGGTTCTATATTCTGAGATTGGGCAATATTTCGCGATCTTTGCACACTTTTGACTGGCTAGAGGTCAGCAAATGTTACTAATAATCAGTACAGCCCCTCTAATTACTTGTTCAGATTCCCTTCACCGTGGGTTGTGTTGTGATGTTCGGCTTTCGACTCGAAAAGTACAAATAATTGAATTTTCGGTCCACTTCATCCGAAAAGTTATTATCTGATCATCACCTAACATTTTAGGCGTTGTCCTTGACCATAACTGGAACCTCATGGAACATTTCAAAGCGATCAGCGCTATATTTCCGCCCTCCAGTGTGGTAATAGGTTACTAAATAATATATGAATACGTAAGCACCTGTAAATATTTAAGTGTAACTCCCGCATACGAGTACCTACGACAACATAATTGGTATCAATTTAAAGGTCAACCACTCCTCTCGGATATACTATCAACTTCTCGGGTCTATGTCCTTCAGTGGTAAATATATACGCTATAGAATACAAATTTTGTAGTTTTTCACACAAAAGTTAGGGTCCATTTGACCCGCTAAATATTGACCGATCTTTATCAAAACAGGCATGCTTATTCTTTGACCCGATCCCCTTCTCCATGCAAAAATTCGCGGTGTTTGGGCCATAATAGCGGCGTCTGGAGCGACCAGAAAATCAAACAAAAATAAAGATTTTGGTTCATTTCATACCATAAATATTAACCGATCTTTTCCAAAAACAATAGGGGTCTCATTGGCCAGAACCCATCCTACATGCAAAATTTCGTGAAGATTGGTCTATAACTGTGGCCTGTATCGTGTTTACAAATTATAATGGACAGACGGACGGACGGACACACATGTCTAAATCGACTCAGCTAGTCGAGATATGACGATCGGTATACTTGAAGGTGGGTCTAGGACCAATATTTCGCGGTGTTACAAACTCTTGGGGCTGCACAAAGCTATAATACCATGACAACGTAGTTGTGTAGGGTATAAATATATATATATATATATATATATATGAAAGGCTTTTTGGGAGGTAGACTTGTTCCAATCAGTAGACTTTTATATGATTATTTACCAAGGTGTATAGCTAATAGAAGAATTTCTAAAGGATTTTTCTAACAACCTGCTTCTATTTCCCACTATTTTATACCTTCCTATTTCCTATATATGTAGGTATTACTATTCCTTACAATCAAAAACCAAAATCAAAGTAAATTTTCTTTTGTAGGCTCACTCACCCGGACACATGCCATAAATCTCAATAGTACACACAATTATTTGGTAGTTTCCTCTATATTTGTAACGTCAGCTGTCACTTTGTTATACGACCACAAACTTAAATAACCATACATCAATAACTTCGTCCTCCCTTTCTCACCTACACCAATATATTTTTGGATGCTTATCTTCGTTCGCTTTCAGTTGTCTATCACTGTAAATCCTCAATTCCACCACAAGCTAGCGATAAAAGGGTTTTTCGAGAGAGAGAAAAAAACAACATTTACTCTCTAACTGATGCATAACCTGTAACATTTACCACTACATGAAACATACACCCACACAAGAATACACCGGTTTCAAAAAATCTAATGATATTGTAACTTGTGATGCTTTGCAAAGGTGTTGGTGGTGTTGGTTCGTTTAGGCGATGTTTAATTCACAATGGGGGCTATTTATTAAGACAAACAATAGGGTGTTCTAAATTTTATTTTTTAATATATAAATTGTTTTTTAGAAAAATGTGGAGCCCATACTTATTCTTATAAAATTCTTAGAGTCCTTCATAAAAGTAATCCAATGTGGGGTAGGGTACCATTTAGTCCAATTTTGGTACCTTCCATACTGGTTTCATACAAATTTTTATAAATAAATCTCCCAGATTTCCAAAAAATTTACTGAGTTAGAATTTCCCCCCACTGTTCCTTCACAAATACCATGGAGTATATCCTCGTAACTCGTTCGCTAGAAAAAATGAAACAAATCGATTCTAATACATCACAGCACTTAACCTAAATAAACTGAATATGAAAGACGATGCTAGGTGAGAGGACGGATGGCTACAAACATCAAATGACAAAATGTAGGTGTCAGTGTAGGAAACACTTCATAGATAGGTCGTCGGTGTATGTGTTGCTGTTGTTGTTCTTGTCGTTGTAGATGTTGTTGTCAGTTTGCCAGCGTATTGATGGCTGTGTCATTTGGATTGTAAAACTTACCTAATGGCATATTGCCGCCAGAAGCTGTACGCAGCCATAAAACATCAGGCATTGGATCACCGCCAACACGACAGGGGAATGTTACTGATGAACCTTCTAAAACCGTTTGATCATGGGGGCCACGTATTATAAATGGTTTCACTAGGGTAGGAGATGGAAGAAAAACAAGAAATATAACACAATTTTAGAAAAAAAAACTTGAACAGATAGATGACTGGGGTTAAAAATACAAATATATTATGGTTGATTTGTTGGTTTGTGGGTATACGTGTGTGTAAGCAATCACTGGGGAAATAAAGGTATTAATATTTTTTACAGACATTTTCAGATTATCTTTTAAAGAATTTGATGGGGTTTTTTTGCAGTTTCCTTTTTTCTCAATTCAGTTTTGGTTTAATTGACAGATTAGTAAATGTATTATTGATGAAGTTAATTTGTGTGTATGTAAGTGTATAAGTGTGAGTTATTTTCCAAAAGGGTTATGAATTAATTCACAGCCATTAACTTACCATGAACTTTCAATGTGGCTATCGCTGATTCTCGAACGCCAACAGGATTTTTTGCAATACACTGATATTGACCCTCATCACTTTGTCGAGCATCCTGTATGGCTAAATTGCCACCATCAACAATGCGTATACGTTTCGATGATTCAAAATCGATTATGTTGCCACCTTTTTTCCACAACACCACCGGTTCGGGTACGCCACGTGGTGCTGAACATTCCAAGAGGGCGGTATCACCTTGAGCTATGCGTGTATTCTGGGGTTCTATGCGAAATTCATCACGCAGAACTAAAAATAGAAAGAAAAAGCAATAGAAAGAATATTTGTATTAAAGGAAATATTTATAACAATGTTCACCAAATAGGCGCCCGCAGGCGCTTTGAGAGAGTACCAATACAATCAAAGTTCTGTGTTCGAACTCAACATTATTCACGACATCAAACATGTCGTATGCTTTGCAATGCTTTAACATATGCGATCTGTACCGAGAGAACGAAAATTACTCTCCCAACGGATCTATGCGCGTGTCCAACACAATCATAGCAGTTTGCATATGTATTGTTGGCTAACCCTGATTTATAATAAGAATATTTATTTTAAGGAACAAAGAAAAGAGAAAAGGGTTAGGGTATGTAGGGACTTATATTTTGACTAGACTAAAACTATTCATGCATTCCATTACATTATGCTCATACATAAATATATTTAAAGAAAAAATTTTAGTTATGTTTGTTTTCTTGAAAGGATTATAAATAATCTTTCGTGTTTGAGACATATATCTATGTATAACTATACAGTGAGTGTAAAAAAATAGTATATAGAACATAAATTTAAAAAACTAAGTGAACATTGTATGTTCACATTAAACTAACATTCACGAAGTCATAAATTCAATTAAATAAAAATGCATCAATTTGAATGTTCTTCATTTTGACACTCATGGTATATCATGTAAGTCCATCATCAAATATGTTTCTATGCATTGCATTTGTATTAAAATATATATAACAATTCGTTTGCTTTAGTTTCTTCTTCGTATTATTTTCTTTCCTTTGGGCTATGTCTGGAATAGTTTTTTTAGTTTTCTTATTTTACAACTACATATTTTTATAAGACCCTAGCTTACAATTTTGTTTCATTTTTAGTTTCAGTTCAGTCTGGACATGATGTTAGTTTTTTGTTTCTTTTTAAGTTGATTTAATTTTTTTGTTTATTGTTTTTAAAGAGATATGTTGGTAAGAGAAGGCGTATAAGTGGTACTTTAGGTTAGTTAAGGTTAAGGGTCGGTACTGTAGTTTAGCAAAAATTGACTATCAGTCGAAAACATACACTGGTGTGGAGCTAGATGTTTTCCATAGTAATAGTGTTTATTTCTCTTAAATAAAAAGGAAAAAGATGTTTTTACACTTGAATACATTTTTCGTGTTCGGAGGAAAGACTTACTTTAAGCGCGGTTATCAATTTGAAGATTAGGCCTAAACAAATCCTGTTGAAATTCTTATGGCCAACATTTATTTAAAAATGTGAGGTGTCTATGCCATAAATGTTGCCTTGATTCATAATAAATGCGAACTGTTAACGTGCACCCACTTCGGCTGGAAAATGTAGAGCATAAATTCATTCCTCCCTATATTTAAAAATTTTTCTTCCTGTAAGAGGCCAATGTTTTTACGCACTTTATCAAAAATGAGTTTTAATCAAATTTCACTGCCTGTTTTTCGTAGCAAGAGTGTACACAACGTTTCAAGTTTAGCTTATGGCCGAACGGTTTGTATCGTGTTACAATTTTATAAAATATCCATGCGCGAAAGATTTAAGGTCCTTTTCAAGAGTTTTTAACAAATACACTCTTGAAAGGCAAAAAAACCTCCACACTTGAAAACCTTTGAGTCCTCCTCTAATAATTAAAATATATTGGAAGGATTTTGGACCTCTTCAAGAGTCACTAAAAATTCACGCATGAACGATTTTGAGTCATTTTCAAAAGAATTTTGGAAATCTCAACTTACTATATTCGGTTCCACCCCTTTTTGCGTTCTTAACTAAATTTAACAAACTTAGAATCGTATAAAATCTGCAGATCTATATTCGGAGCCCGGGTAATATTTCCCAATATTTCCTCACTCTTGGCGGTGACTATGTCCTACAGGAGTAATTATATGCGACATAGAATTTAAATGTTGCCATTTTTCCCACAAACGACAGGGTCCACTTGAACCGCTGAATATTGACCGATCCATGGTCAAACCTTTTCGTGATGTTCGGGACATAATTGTAGCCCCCAGAGTAACCAGAAACCAGTAAGGAAAGTAGTAAAGACGGACTGGGCCGACTATATGATACCCTTCACCACTTTGGGTATATTTTACATATGTATCCTAACAGACGACGCGTTTTGTTATAAATCTATATCTGAACCGATTTCAGGGAAACTTGCCAGAGACTAATTTATATAACATCAGTACGTTGTGTCAATCGGCCAGGCTATGGATCTTTTCACGAAGCTTAGCAATATCATTCTAGACTTAATTCAGTACTCTATACCAAAATCCACCAATTACCTTAAATCGGATGAAAATACATATGGGAGCTATATCTAAATCTGAACCGATTTTCACGAAACTTGGCAGACATCATTCTATACTTAGTTAAGTACGCTGTTCTAAATTCCGTGCAAATCGAAGGGTATATAGGGACTTTGGTACACAATTAACCTTAAATCGGACGAAGATATCTATGGGACCTATATCTAAATCTCAACCGATTTTCACGAAACTTGGCAAACATCATTCTAGACCTTATTCATTACGGTGTGCCAAATTTCGTGCAAGTCGAAGGTTTTCTAAGGACTTTAGTGGAGTATTTACCTAAAATCGGGCCAAGCTATATATGGGAGCTATATCTGAATCTGAACCGATTTCCAAATAACTTGGCACACATCATTCTGCACCTAATTCAGTACTCTGTGCCAGATTTCATGCAAATCGAAAGATACAGATGTACTTTGGTGCCCCATTTACCTTAAATCGGACGAATATATATGAGAGCTATATGTAAATCTGAACCGATTTTTCCCAATTTCAATAGGGTTCGTCCTTGGGCCAAATAAGTGGCTTGTGCCAAATTTCATCCAAATCGGATTATAAATGCGACCTGTACTTTGTTCACAATTTAACATGTACAGACGGACGAAAGGACGGACATGCATAAATCGACTTAGAAAGTGATTCTATTCATATTCTCAAAAGAAACCGTGGGTCTATCTCGATTCCTTTTGCCTGTTACAAACATATGCACAAAGACATAATACCTTGTACCACTGTGTGGTGAATGGTATAAAAACTGCAGTCTGTATCGTGTTTACAAATTATAATCGACAGACGGACGGACTGACATGGCTAGATTGACTCAGCTAGTCGAGATACGTCGATTGTTATACTAACAGGTGGGTCTTGGACCATTATTTCCTTGCGTTACAAACTTTTAAGTCCATAAAAAAGCTATAATACCCTTACAATGTAGCTGTGTAGGGTATAAGTAGGCTTTTAAAAGTTTCTGGAGAAATACATATTGTCTTCCATTCTAAGACTTTTGGTCGCTCCTCAAAATCCTTTAGTAACCCACTCAAAATTTAATAAAAAAGTACTTTCAAATATACATATTAAAAATTTTGCGCAAAAAGGCTTAAAAACAAAAAAAGAATTAATTTAAGCACAAATATTCGTCAGAAAAGCACAGATCTACCGTCACGCGTTGACGGTTATGCATTTGATTCTTATTAAAAATCAATTTTGGGTTTGGGGTCTCTTCAAAAATTCTTTTAAAAGTCCACACTTTAAAGGCCTTGAGGCTTCTGTACATTGCTTAATGCTCATCGTTGGAGCACCATAAAATACTATATTGTCCATGCTTATTGATCTCTTTTGTCCGTTCAAAAATATATTTAAATATATTTTTAATAACATTTATATTTATTATTCAAAATTCTGGCATTGGTTAAATAATTACGTAAATATGCCCAATATTTTTTTTTTCAAACCCTTCAAAATATCTTTTGTGAATCCTTTAAGAAAAATCTAAAATAGTTCTTAAAGCCTAAAATTCCCACCGATGTTAATCTTTTTTCGTTACAAATTGTCAATAAATTACCAAAGTATTTTACGATAACACTAATCCTCTACATTTATATACGATACACTACAGCGCCCATGTTTATAAATCACATTAAACTTTCAAATGATGAAGACAAGCGAACGAACGGCATTACTTATTGCCGAGGTCAAATGAAATGATATACAATGTTTCAGGGATAAGGAGACGGCTAAACGATTACTTGACACCGGCCAATGTCAATCGGAACACACATATACGACGGCACATAATAAACTAAAAGGGTATCAAGGGGAGGCATAAAACAAAAAGCAATTCTCATAAAAAAATATTGGCTACAGAACAT